GTTTATACAGATCTTATAAATGCAATTTCAAGTGATTGTTCCATAAGGTTACATGTTGAATTGCAAATTTTTAAAATTAATCATGTAAAAAACGGGTACAGTTAAACGATCTGCTATTTTATAAGGGTATTTCTTATTTTCTTAGGAAGTTGTTTTGAAACCATCTGAAGATTCGATGAAAGAGCACAGTCTGGTACTGGCCATTCACGATATTGTTTATAAAAATTGTTCTGTTATTAGATATTAAAATATTTATTGAAACCACACCTAATTAACGTAGGTATACTTATTCCAACAGTAATTGCACCACCTTTGTACATAATATCGTTTCATACGAGGTATACTTATATGTATAATTATATTATTTGCCATATAATTTTATAGATGTATAACTTCTTACTTGGGTACCCAAGCACCCACTGTCCACTGGTTTCGTTTTGAATCTTGTCGACTTGAACCAGTACGTCGTCAAAGAACATTAATCAAAGGCATTAGAACGGCAGAAGCTCTCTTACTCCCTTCATACTGGATGACAACCATATACCTTCTGGACGCGTACTTTCTAATATCCCTCGACAGGGCTTGCAGGAAATACGTACGGCTTCAGTTTCAAGGCCTGACATACGAATTTACTTGCCTGCCCTTTGGACTTAGTTCAAACCTTTTTGTGTAAGCAAAGCTGCTTAAACCTATAATGAATCATCTCCGCGCAAGGGGTTATGTATCTATCGTCTATTTAGATTATTTCCTGTGTGTAGCGAAGAGACGCGACAATTACTCGGAAAATACCAACTACACGACCAGCCTACTACAATTGCTCGGATTCTTAATTAACTATCAGAAAAGCTATTTGGTCCCTCAAACTAGATGTAAATATTTGGAAGTAACTTTAGACTCAATGAAATACCAGGTAGCTCTGACAGATAAAACAAAGGCGAACACGCTACTTGAGGCCGCATCGAAAAGGAAACCTTGTAGCATCTCCAACTTTGCAAGTCTTATAGACGATCTAACTTTCGTGTGCCAGGGGGTAGAGTACGGACTCCTACAAGAGATAGAAAAAAAATAAACTCTAAGAAATATGACGGCAATTTCCATGCTCGTCTAACGTTTTCAGTAAATAACACAACCGCCATTGCCTACGTAAACAGGATGATGGGAGTCAGATATAAGACGTATAATTCTGTGGCTAGGAAGATCTGGTTCCGGGATTAGGACCGGAAAATTTTTCTAACCGCTTCCTACATTCCATCGCGTGTAAACACAGCCGTGGACAGACTATCGAGAATAAAGAACCGGGACACTGAATGGTCTTGGGCAAGATGTACTTCAAGCGAGTCAATAGGAAATTTTAGACCCCCGACATCGACTTATTTGTGACAACAGACAACACAAAATGTAGAAAATTTATATTGTGACGGCCGTCTCCAGGAGCGTTCACTGTCGATGCTTTCACCATGAACTGGGCTGGGAAGTTCTTTTATGCTTTTCTTCTTTTAGTGGCATATTAAAAATACTAATAAAGATCAAACGAGAACATGCAAGAGGCATCATTGTATAGTGCCTTACTGACCATCGCAAATTTGGTTCCCTCTGCTCCTTCAAATGTTAGGTTACGATCCCTTGTTGCTAGGCCCGGATCATAATATGTAATCTTATATTTATAGACGACCACATCCTCAGGCACAGCACCTGATTTTAGTGGCCGGAACTGTATGTGGCAGGCGTTCATTGAAAGAACGCGTCCCCTCAATCGTCCTGGACATAGTCTCGGCATTTCTAGCACCGTCAACAATAAAACAATATACACCAGAGCTCAAAAAAGTAGCATGCATTCTGTACTTACTCGAAAAGATGTGGGCGTATTTAAGCCAACAAGAGAATCACATCTAGAGGTTTTCGTGGACCTATTTCAGAGCGGTGTGTCTTACAGCACCCTTAACCCAGCACAAGCGGCTATTTCATTAATTTCTGGGGACATAAATATAGGCAAGGACCAGCTAGTATTCCGGTTTCTAAGAGATACCTTCAAACTAAACCATCGTGTCCTAAATACGAGTACATGTGGAACGTAAACTTTGTCCTGAAGTTTCTAAAAGGTCTTTATTCCACAGAGACTCTTAACATTAAAACCTTAACGATTAAAACAGCCAGTCTGCTAGCACTCGGTGCAGCGTACCAGATGCAAACTTTAGCGGCTTATTAGATTGGAAACAGAATCGCTCAGAGAGGGGAAGGATCAACTACTCCTGGGCACAAAAAAGCCTTACAAACTGGTAAGCATGTATACTCTAATCAAATGGGCGAAATCAGCTGTAAAAGACTGCAGTATCGATGTGAGCATTTTCTCCGCACACTCACTGCGATATGCAACGGTCTTAGCGATGAAAAGAAGAGGGGTCATTTTGGATCTGATGAAAAAAACGTCTAGATGGTCAGCAAATTCCACTACATTGCCAGATTTTATAATCGACCAGTACTATCTGACAACTATACATTTTCATCTGCTGTCTTGCTTAATAGTGCAGCAGATAAGTAACACCATAAAATTTCTTCGAAGCCTAATCACGATGGCAGAGCTATGAAACATTTCGCTGAGATGTAAGATTCGAATATAAATCACAAGACTGATAGTACTAAGGCCATAAAATGCTTATAATTCCGTGTACAATTGTTTTTAGAAGTGGACGTTACAAGGAACTAATAAAAAAAGATCACTTAAAGCGGCGTTGGCTCAGTGGTAAGCGTCCTTGCTACTGATACAACGCTGTTCTAGGGGTCGTGGGTTCTATTCCCGGTGAATGCAGATTTTTTCAAAAACTGTTTTCATCGGGAAAAGTTCCTATGTAACCCTGTCTGTTCCGGGGCGAGTTTTTCCATGGAATCTACCTTCAGAGTAATTCCAGGGTTTTTTCCTTGCCCCACAGGTCTTCGGGCCTGGGTGAATGCGAAACAGTGTTAGAGCTATAGGTAGGGATTAGCGGATCCGATGCCAGACGTTGGGCAGGGATCGCCAGCCTTACCGGCGAGGAGTGTTCCCTGAATCATGGGGCTTCTCCGGGGATGCTAATTAGCCTGGATCCGATGCTTCGGCAGAGAGCGCCGGCTTAACCGGCGAGGAGTGGACGTCCTGGAATGTGGAATCATCTCTGGGGAATGGCTACACAGTGGCGAGTGGACCCGATGCACCATTAGTTCAGAGAGCGTCAGCTTAACTGGCAAGGTGTTCCACCGGAGATACTTTTTTTTTTTATTGAGCATTTGAGGCCAGAAGGCCCATTTCAGCTTTACATGAGATTTAAATGATTACAAAAAATAATAAAAGTACATTAGATAACACAATTCAGCAAGTCTTAAACTAATTAAATATATCGCATTTATACATTTAGATTACATTTAAGCCAAAATTTATGCATGTAAAAACACGCTTTGCTGTTAGGTGAAGACAATAATATATCTGCCGTGCAAGGCAGAAAAATGTTGATTCTACTTAGATTCTTAACAAATTCCCTACGATTGTCATTGTAAAGATCTCATTGCTACAGAACATGATTAATGCTGTCACTAGGGTAACCGCATTTACATAAGGTATCTCTAATGATTCCAATTCGGTGTAAAGACTCCGCCAAGCCATAGTGATTGGCCCTGCATCTATTCACAATTACAATGTAGGATGTATTATATTTGCGTCTACTGTACCACGGTGTTAATATGTCTTCATAAAAAATATCAAAATAGTTTTTACTCTTAGTTTTTCCCTGAAGCAGCAAGGTAGTTTTGGTCGAGCTATGCATGTTTTTTTTAAAAAGCTCTCTAAAATCTGTGAAGGGGATTATGTTTGAAACTAATGAAATATCAGTTGCAGAGGTTGCTGCTTTGGCTAATCTGTCAGCAATCTCATTGCCTTCAATTTTTATATGAGCTGGAATCCGGAGATACTCACACTGTGCCCATGGATTCAAGTATGATATTAATAACAGGGTTGGAAATAGGTGTGTGGCAATGCACCCCCACACATAGGTGGTGAGTGGGTAGCCCCGGCGACTAAGCCAGTAGGCTGTCGTGGTAACCCGGTAGAAAAAAAAAGCTATTAAAAGTGAAAAAAATATAATTATGTTAAAAAGTACCGTTCTTAAAAAGTACTACTACACAAATCAAAACAAATTAATCAAAAACATGCTCTGAAACGGTACAATAATTTTGTTTTTCATACTTGTGTATATTTAAATAAAACGTGACTAGATGATTGTTGATAATTATTGTATGTTTATTATAAGCATGATCGTTTTATGAAACGTAGAGCCACTGTAAAGTTGAAGTCATCGAACAAAGAAAAGTACATAAGTACCAGCAAAGAGATAAATCAAAAAGTCAGTGACAGCTATATAAACATGAATAATTTTTAAGAAGAGGGTGGTAATCCGAGGTATTACGTGCAAACAAAGAATGTCAAGTGTACGTGGAAATTGAGAGTAATCAGGAAGCAGAAAAAAATTTTGTATGTACTCAGTACGTTTATGAAAGTGGTAAGTGTGATGTTTCCATCCAAACATCCGTGGTTTTCTCTTAAGGTCGTCCTGTTATCGTACCCTCTAAAAAAGTGGACAAGCAGTGCAGTTCACCACAAGTAATTACTGTTGCAGCCTCAGTTCAAACACCAACTGCTATCTTGACAAGAGAGTATTTTCGTGGAATTTCATCGATAACAAGTGACGAAGAGTTAATGGACTTTCCTGGTGTTTCAATCAATAGTTTTACTTTTTTACCAAGTAAATGGAGCAGTTACGAAAAGAATAATTTCAATATAACGTTAGAGAATAGACTACTTATACTACGTATGAAACTGAAAGCAAGGCTATCTTTCTCTGCGTTGGGGATACTGTTTTGCACACACAGAATAACGATCTCAAAAATTTTTTATTCGTTATTAAATTATATGGCTTAGGTCACGTA